GCGCGGCTTTATTGGATTATTGACGAATAGCTGTGAGAATGCGTTCGTCGGGAAAATGCAAGTAATTTCAGTCGAGTCAGCGCAACTGCATACATATACAACGATGCACATACACGAGTCTCATACACAGAGTCACTTTGCACGAACGGCGGAGCCCTACGTTGAGAACCAGAATCATCAACGTAAGTTACTGTACGACCATGTCGATAAAAACACCCATAAAATGCATTACCGGCAATCATTGGACTACCGTAGAATAGCGTTAAGCTGGGTAAGTAGGAGCGACTTCTAAATTAAGTGTACCGATTGAGGCGTCGGTAAAACAGAATGGTTGCTTTATCAACCGAGAATGTGTCGACCCGTGCTGCCATCTACGACGGAAACGACCAATTAATAAAATATAGCATCACAGATATTTTCCACCTCAAAGATTTTCTCGTTTCCTTTTACTTCAAAGAATTGGCATAGTTTTTCACACTCAGATTGTCATAAAATAATCAAGAAAAAATTTTTTTTCTCTCAAAATAAAAATTTATATCGATGAACGAGTAGATGACCGATACAGAGTGACGAGCCAATGCGACGAAATATTCGTCGCCGTTCGTCCCCGCCTTAACCACGCCCTCGGAAGCAAGAGTGAGGCAGCCATAATTAACCTCGATGTCGTTAAAGCCACTAGATGGCATCGCAATGCCATAGACAAAATAACATTAGTTCGAATAAAACCGTTTATACTACTTATATCTATAATTATTACCATCGTTAAAATATCGTCTCGTCAAATTTCCTACGATACAACTCTAAAATTCACATTTGATAAATATCTACAAGCTCAAAATTGTCATGTATAATTCAATAAATACAAACAAGATCAACAATAATATTCACGCGAAAAAAACAATGAAGGAACTCGATACTCGGGCTAAGAAGTCCATAGATCTGTAATCCCCGTTCGGAAACACGATTTTGGAATCGAGATATGTACCTTTAAATATTTCTAGCTTTTAAACTCGGGCCCGTTGGCGCGATTTATCGCCCATACCGGGCAAACTTTCCTATAAAAGTAGATCGCCGGAATTCCTCTAAATTGCCTTTTCTTGTTCACTGTCAAAATTTATCTTCGCGTATATCTGCGTCATGGCATCGACTCGGCCCGCGGCCGGGCGAGAAAGAGACAGAAATCGGCTGTCGTTGTCTCGTTCTTTATTTAGGCGACGAAAAAAGGGTGACGTATGGAAGCATGCCTCAAGAGAGGTCCATCAAATTCTTAAGCCGTGACTACGAAAGCACGATAGCGCGGGCCGCGTAGTGGGCTTTCTTAATTGGACTCAGCCCCTATTTCTTCCTCGCGGTGGCGGAGCGGACAAAAACGGGCGGTCGAGCGGTGCCGACAATGAAATGTAAATTTCACGCAAATTCAACGACAAGCATGGAAAAAACGGCCCTGAAATATGTATATCTCGTTATATTATCGAAGCGTGGCATAGTCGCGAATTTAATGCGGCCCCTCCGCTATCAATGCGCGATTTAATGAGGGCGCGAAACAATGCAACAGAGACGCGCGCGCGCGCGCGCGCGCGCACTGAGCGATCCTAATAAATAACGTCGTAAATATGTA